AAATGATAAGAAAACTATCTCTGACCATCATTTTAGATTTTTTTTTATATAATTGTGATATAAGTGATATAAATTTAATATAATTGATTATAAATTTAAATTTTAAAAGTATTAATTTTAATATTAATTATTAATTATTATTATTATTATCCCTCAAATAAAACCAAAATACTGAAAACAAACTTTTTATTTTGCCAACTTTACCACTAATTATTCCAAACAGCTCGAAAAGTGTCCAAAAAGAGTGATGGACGAACTGTGTGCACTCTTCTTTAAAACAAAATACTGAAAACAAACTTTTTATTTTACGATTCCGGAAAAATTCTGAAGCTACCCTTTGATGACTTCTTTGATCCACTAAACTCTAATTCCGATCGCCGCTGCTTTTCTTCCGTCGGTTTTACTCCGGAGATCTGCTCCAATTCCATCATTCTTCTCCCCAGGTTCTCTGTTCCTTCTCCTTTCCATTTTCATTTACGATAATTCAATTTATTTACTCTTCTTTGCATTTCCGTGCTTTTTTACTGTTTAAGCTTCGAAATTTTTCTACTTTTTTTTTTTTTTTTGAAAAAATTTGATGCCTGCTATGTGTCTTTGTCGGTTGTCTTTGCATGGAATGTGAATTTGCTTAATGTTATCAATCCCGGATTTCTGCAGAAATTTTCCGAGTTTCTTCTTTGTTGGGTATTACAGATGATAGAATGCAGTGTTTGCCGCTCCAAATTGCAGTCACCCAATAGCAAAACAATTTCCAAGGCATATGATCGGCACAGAAGTGATGTCTCCTCCAAAACCCGTGTCCTCAATGTCCTTTTGGTTGGTGGGGACTGTGTTTTTGTGGGTTTACAGGTATAACTTTGATGATGGAGGATTGCCTAAGGCTACTGTGGGAACAAAGCAATGGTGGCATTTTGTGTTTTTACTTTTTGATTAGATGAAACTGATGGGTTCATTCATTGCAGCCAATTTTGGTGTATATGTCAAAGGTGGATGGGAGTTTCAAGTTTAGTCCTGTTAGCGTTAACTTTCTGACTGAGGTTGCAAAAGTTCTGTTTGCAATTGTTATGCTGTTATTCCAGGTGCCCTTTTGCACTTGCTTCATCCAAGACTTTAATGCTAGATATATATATATATATATATATATTACTTTTATTTATGTATTCACAATTGAATAAAGAAGTAAATAGAGGACAACTCAACAAATAATTAGGACTACTGTTACTGCATAACATTACTCTTCTGGGTGCCGTATGGACATTGATCTGCAAGTAATTAGAGCAGTAGGGCAGGACATGCCAAGAAAATAAAAGGAGCCATGAAAGGTTTTCTTTGGCATTGGTTTCCAGTCATTTTCTCGTACTTGATATATCAGTCTGGGTGCATCTGCCTTTCAAATGCTTTAAATGGAAGCACATTTGGCTTTTTTTTCTTTTTTTTTTTTATAAATTGTTGCAGTCTAAAATTTATCAGCAGTTTTAGTTTCCTTTTTCTTATTTATACTCCGTTTTCTTTTCAGTCTAGGCATAAGAAAGTGGGGGAGAAATCTCTCCTCTCGGTTTCTACAATTGTGCAGGTAAGAGATTTACTTTCACAAGTTTTTGATGTTGCAGTCGTGATGCTAAATTCTTTATCTTGGAAATCCTGCCCATAGCAGATAATTAAGCTCCTAGAACTCCTGTATGATGTATTTTGTGATGTCTTTGTTTTCCCCTCTTGTTACAGGCTGCTCGAAATAATGTGCTTCTTGCTGTTCCAGCTCTCCTCTATGCTATTAATAATTACTTAAAGTTTATCATGCAGGTATGAACTTTCATATGGATCTTGGTGAAACCCTAGTTCACAATAGCTCAGCATGTTTCTTAGATAATTGGAAATTGGAATGACTGGCTTTCATTCTAATTGTGTAGTGGGAGAATTTTTTGATTATGTGCCCTTTTTCCTGTTGAACAATGGTCACTACTATAATATGTGGTTCATATTCTTATCATTGGAGATTCATCATAATTGATACAACTAACTGTGTTTTATTCTGCAGCTTTATTTCAATCCTGCAACGGTGAAGATGTTGAGCAACCTAAAGGTAGCTTACTGCATGATATTTATGGATAAACACAATATCTTCTGAATTACGCTTCTCTTTTGGTCCTCTAAATAATCTGTTGTCTGTTGGTTATCCTTTTCTAAAATTTTCTTGGGGTTCCATGGTAAAATACTTGCACCAAATTGATTTGTTAAAAGGTTTCATTTAGCCTATGATGGCTTCTCCATTTTCTTTTAAACTTTGTGCATTGATTATGTAATTTGGTTTTAAAAGTTAATCACCTCCATTTAAAGGTGAAATAATCTATACATCACATTGATCATTCTGCTATCATTTTTTTTTTTTTCTAATTTCTGTGTAAGATTTTAATCTGTTGTTATGCTTGCAAATATAAGCAGGTTTTGGTAATTGCTATCTTGTTAAAGATAATCATGAAACGACGGTTTTCCATCATTCAGGTCAGTTTTGATTATGTAAAATTTTCACATTGACTTTTGGGACGGCGGCTAATTGATATTTTCATCTGTTTGTGCATTTATGCTGGTGGTTCAATACTTGTTACAGTGGGAAGCTCTTACTCTGTTGCTAATTGGAATCAGTATAAATCAGCTTCATTCTGTGCCTGAGGGCACCACTGCTTTAGGTCTTCCAGTTGCAACAGGCGCATATTTGTACACACTCATCTTTGTAAGTCACTAAAATTTCCCATTTGGATCATTGTGCCAAGTTTTTTTCTGTCTCCAGTTACAATTTTGTTGCACTTATCTAATCCTCAAGACATCTGCCAAAAGATTTCATATGCTTGGGATGGAAAAATATTGCTGAAATATAGAGACAATTACTATAATTCAAAGCTTTATATTGGTTGAGTAAAAATAAATTTCTATCCTACAATTTGGTTGTGAGTGCATTTATTGTAGGACATATTAGATATAATCTGTTTATGAGACTTTGGTGGTGGGTTAGTAGTTTTGAAGAGAACTGAGGGTTATTCTTTGAATGAGGGTTTATCTTGATAGACTTTAGAGGGCTGAGAAGTGACTGGCAGCAAGGATTACATACCAGAGAACCAGAATGCAGTTACTGTAGCAACAGCAGAACCTAACTGCAGGGATAAGTGTGAGAGAAGCTAATGTTATTGCTTGATCTCAAAAGGAGGGATATTTATTCAAATTTCAAAGTTCTTAGAAAATAGCTAGCTTGTGCAGTTATTCAGAAACTAATACTAATTTATCTGCCATGCTAGAGAATCTGATACAATGGAACCTAATTCTAGGACATTGATGCAGGTTACTGTTCCATCTCTAGCATCAGTCTTTAATGAGTATGCATTGAAAAGCCAATTTGAGACAAGCATTTACCTTCAGGTGAGTTGAAATGGTTTTTCATATTCCCTTCTTTCTTTCTTTCTTTCTTTTTGGCTGTCTAAACCTGGTATATGGGGACAATAATCACACATGTGATATAGGTTTTGGGTTTGCCTTCAATTCTTCTTTTTCTTTTGAATCTATTCTGAAAAAGAGAGAAGAACCATAGTACTCTTACTGCCTATCCCAGAACTCTTTTTCTTGCTGCTCTACGTGCTGAAAGAAATAAAATAATTTGCTGAAGGGTAGCCAAAAGGTCAATCACTTGTGGCTGTTTTCCTGGGGATCAGTCTTTTACAATTTTTTGTTTAGCTCATCTAGATGACTAGATACTGCTGCAATAGATAGCAGAAAAACTGAATAGGCCAGTAGATTCTTTCAAGTGTCTCTTAGTTAATATCACTTTTGAATGTTCAGGTTGCTTATTATTCAGTCACTTTTGAATGTTTATGTAGCTTATTGAGTTCTTAATCTATATTTAATTTTCTGCTCACTCCTTTTTTGTGACCATCAATCAAGTTAATAATCTTTACCTTATACTTTCTTTCTTTGTTTTGCAGAACTTGTTTCTCTATGGATACGGAGCAATATTCAACTTCATGGCCATCATTGGAACTGCAATTTTTAAAGGTAGATGATCAAATATGTAGTTTAGAAATTTTTATATATAAGCTTTGACTAGATGTTTGAAGTGTAGTGATCATGATAAATTTATGGACTTGTAATTTCTCTTGTAAGAGAATTTACTATCAATTTCAGTTACTTGTTCTTGTTTATCAAACAAATTCTTTTACGTGTTGACACTGTTTTTATTTATGAAAAAGCAATGTTAATATTGACTTCTCTGAGGGTTGCCAGATGACTATACTTTCGTTTGTTATGCTGTGAAGCCAAAGCCTGCACATGTACACCATTCAGCATACAAATATTTGTAGCAAAAGGTTATAGAGCATCTGAATTCTGAAGATAATAGGAAGCATAATTAATTTTATATTTGTAGCAGAAGGTTATAGAGCATCTGAATTCTGAAGATAATAGGAAGCATAATTAATTTTCTCTTTGATCTTAGGCTTCTCAGAACGGACTAGGTTCTGTTAGGAAATGAAAATGTGCCATGTTTTAATGAAGTTTGTGAAGTGAAAATGAATGAGGCAGCATGAATCTCCTGGGGCGATAATTATGTCAAACAAGATGATAATATAAAGATGAAGCTTTATGGTACTGTGAAGGAACATAGATTGGTGGAATAACCAAATGTTATTGCTTTAAAATGATGGCCAGAGAAAAAGTAGAATTGTGGAGAAGATATAAAAACAAACAGCAGAATCAAACTGTAATGTTGGCTTTGTAAAAGAATATTTTTCCAGGAAATGAGAGTTTGTGGGCAAGAACAATGCTGCACAAGCTTTGTCTCAAGCAAAGAAAAGATTTCTGTTTTATGAGTTATCACTGAACCATGGTATGGGTTTTAGTTTGGTTTTATATTATTTTGACTTGCTGCTTTAATTTCATAACCTCAATCCTTTTTAGGTCCCAGCAGTTTTGATATCTTGCAAGGACATTCAAAGGCTACCGTGCTTTTGATATGCAACAATGCTGCCCAAGGGATTTTATCATCATTTTTCTTCAAATATGCAGGTAACAATCATTACTTCTTTTGGCCTTAGATAACAATCATTACAATGACTTGTTTTTACAACAATTTTCAGTCATGGTATTGATTGAATGCTTTGTATTTTCCTGTTCCTTTATTTTTAATCTTTTGTCTTTTCGTGGGAATTATACTTCTCTCAATTTGCATAAGGTTTTTTTTTTTTTTTGGCTAATCTCTTAAAAGCAATATTAGTCCCTGCTGAAACCCCTGTTAGTCCATGCTGAAATTTATCTATGCTGCCCCTGTAAGTCTCAAGGCCTCTGCAGCATGCGTTTCATGTGGAGGCAATGCAATAGACAAATAGCATGATGAAGAAAGTAAATGTGGTATAAGCAACCTGTGAACACATCTGCCTCTGATTTTGTCTTGCTATGTACCAGTATATGCCAATTAACTGAAAGTTCTCCATCATATTGATAATCTTCACCTATTACTTATTTAATGTCTGGACTTTTGATCTTACTTGGAGTTTGTCTTTGCCTAGAAATATTGGTTTCGGCATCATATTTTTTTTTCCCCAAGAAAATTTCTTTGACGGTCCCATTTAGTTATCATTTTTGTTATTCAGTGTCTAAATAATTCTGTAAGTATACTACTTTTTTCTTGTTACTGTAGATACAATTCTGAAGAAGTACTCCTCAACTATTGCTACAATTTTTACGGGAATAGCATCTGCTGCTCTGTTTGGTCATACCCTAACAATCAACTTTATTCTTGGCATCTCAATTGTGATTATATCTATGCATCAGGTAATTGTAATTCACAGACAATTGTTAATGCTGACCGAATCTTCCTTTCTTTTAGTTTTTACCATTAGTATTTGTGGCCAGAAAATAAAACACAATTTGCAACCACGATGCCTCTATTTTGTTGGGCTGCCTTTTCCTGTTAATTCCTGCAAGTTTAGTTATGAAGACCAAGAACTTGGCTTATGGTTACTTATATTATTATTTTTTTTTCCCTTCAGTTCTTTTCACCACTTTCAAAGGTTAAGGATGAACAAGAAGATAGTAGTCTGGAGATGGTGAATACTCAGGACAGCCAGAGGTATGCCCTCTTCCTGTTTGCGCTTGTTCTCAAAAGCAAGAAAAATTTTGTTACTGACAGTGGACAATTCAAAAAGAGGGTTAATTTTAATTAATGATGGTTCTAGAATCTAGAAGGCATTTAAAGTGTTGACTTCCAAGCTTGTTTGTCTTGGATTAAAACTATTGATTCCATGCTTCATTATGCTCCCTTTTGATGTGCATGCATCTACCGTCTCCTGCCTTCTGTCTGAAAGTAGTGTCTTTATACCAGATGGGTCATAGTTGATTACCACAAAATTGGATCAAGTGGTTTTCCCCATAAACAATTTTGTTGCTGCTTTATGGGATGGCATTAAGTTGTTTTATCTGGCATAGAATCTTGTTATTGAGGCTGATGCTTGTTTTATGAGATGGAATTAACTACTTTTCATGATTTCTCAAGTCAAAAAATGATGTCCTATGGTTTCTAATTCTAATTTCTTGAATAATCTACTTTGTGGTTCATATTAATTGGCCTTTGAATTTGATTTTGTCTTTAGCATAGTATGGGAATGTGTTTGGTTTTAAGTATACTTAAAGGAAAGGGGGTTCTTAATGTTTCAGCAAAAAAGGGTGAAAAAGACTTCTTAATGTTCTTGCACCCAATATATAATTTTGATGTTACTGTTATATGTAGTTGTTCTACTCACTACAAAAATGAAGATGTCAAGTTAAATGCATTTGATCAGGTCTAAGGATGCATCATTTGTAAATATGGCAGCTGGGGCAAATGAAGATGTAAGAACTTTCACCTAAGTTTTATTTTTCAATATGTTGTCCTTTGCTTGATTCTGATTCAATGTGATATTATGAAATCTCAGGCTAATCATCATGTTAAAGTGGAGGAAAAGAGGCCACTTCTTCCTGTTTAAAGTTACCTGTCATGGGTATGGATCTATTGGTTTACTGATAACCTGATAACTAACAAAGTTTTTATTTGCTTTTGTGATCTTATCTTGTACTTCCCATTAATGAAGTATGGAATTTTGTGGATGGGATATTATCCAAAAATTGGTTGAGTCAGAGGTCCAGTCGGTTATGCGGTTCTTATTTTCATTTGGTAATTAGGGCCATGTATAGAACATCCTCTTTCTGTGTGAAAATAGAACTGAGTTTTCAAATGATGACTTCTATGCACAGCTTGAATGAGATATGGTGCTAAGCACTCATTTAATAAAATTTTCAGCGAAAACAAAACAATAAATAAAAAGAACACAATAACACCAAGCTTATTTTTAGTCTGAAAGGGTACTCCCTTTTTTCAGTTTATGTTAAAAAAAAAAAAAAGAGGAGAGAAAAAAGGTACTTCGCAAAATGTCATCAGATTAGTGGGAATCAAAAAAGTTAGTGCTATTGGTACCTTTATAAGATACCTAATTTTATTAAATCAACTACCTATAGAGACGCATATTTCAATCACTACAGAATCATCATAGCGTTACTGGTAAGATTGAAGGCATAAGACAGAATTTTTCACCTGAAAATGCTTTGGCATTTCAGATTGGCTATTCCATTGCTCACAAAACACCATCTTTTTATTGTAGAGATGAAAATTCAGTGTAGCCTCTACTTTTCATGTTGATGTTTCTCTGTTGTGCATTGGTATTTAGTATAAGAGTAGCTATGAATATCTTATGATTTAGTATTCTGGTGGGCAGAACCCTTTTGGCACTAGTTATGGGGATTTAGATGTCAACTTGGTGCAATGATCAAAATGGAGGTCAATTGGCCCTATCTAGGGAAATGCAATTGGAGAAAAGAAAATAATTTTGAGATACTTCTTTAGATTTTTTTCTTTTTTACTTCTTTACTTCCTTGCTTAAGCACTTGGAGATGTTCAGAATCTTCTAAAATTTCATAAATAGTATAAAGCTATTCTAATGTCTTTATCTTTTGAACTTATTAGATAGACATATGGCAAAGTAATCTTGGCTTGGTGAGTGGAAACAAACTGCTCCTGCATTTGACGCCTTTCTTTGTTTCTCAGAAGAGAGCATGAGAGTTGCAACCCGCTTTGTTTCTCCAGTGAAGTTTCACCATGTCAATTATAAGCCAAGATTGAGGAGCTGTT